GGCAGGGGGGTTGGACTAGATGACCTTTAGAGGTCCCTTCCAACCCAAACTATTGTATGATTCTATGAAAGTATGTTTGAAACTAACTACACGTGACACTCATTAGGTTATGTGTGTTTGCTTGCCTCTATAAAAACAACAACAAAAATAAATAAAAAATAATTTAATTCATATGCAATTTACCAAAAAACATCAATTCCTGCAGCTCCTAATAGAAAGCTCCTAAGTCAGAGTGAATTTTACTTTTTCACTGAAGATGGTTTTCAGCATATCATAATATCAACAAGCCAAGAACATTTACATATAAATAAGCAACGAGGAAAACAATTTCATTCCAAAAAGAAGAATGGCTTATAAGAACAACTATCGTGAATTCCTTTCCCTTTGAGCTATGTAACAGTTATGAAAACCAACAAACATAGGCTGACGTTACTCGTCAACCTATTGCAATTATATACTGTTACTTACCTAAGTGAAATATTTTCAGCTTCCTGTCGGCTCAGCTGAGTTTCAGAGTCCAGTGCTCTTCTTGCCAATCTTTTCATGTCAGTTTCCAGAGAATCAATGGTGTCTTTCATTAGCGCCACTTTGGACATCTGTTCTAACCGTTCACTATCTAACTATAAATATAATTAAACATTAAAAGCTGAAAAAAGCTGATTTATACATAGAATTTCTCCTATTAATTCAAATTATACTCTGTTTTTAGCACAAATCTTTTACTGAAGGAGAAATGTCCAAGTATCTCATTTACTCAGGGCCTGACTCCAAGTCTACTGAAGGTAGTTGGCAGAAAGCTGAAATGTGATTTTCACTTCCTTTGAAGGACAATCAATTTCCTGTCTTTCAGATCTCTGGGAACATTGTCATTTATTCCAGTAAATTTTAGGTTGGTAATTATGCCCAAGGGGAAAAACGTTTGGCATTGATCAACATAAGAAGTTTTCAGTGCAAAACAACATAACAGAAAACATTATTTTTAGTGTATGAAAGGAGAAATCGCAGTTTGGGATACAACACTACCAATGATGGATTTAGGCCTCTACTAAGTTATATAGCTATGTTGATAACTGGATAGAGAAATCACTGTAAAACATTTGCATAAAGCACTATATGACCAAGTTACCACCATGAGTGCTTTAGGTCTGGACATAGAACAAAGAAAGGGTCCAGAAACTATTGCACAGACAAAGATAGTTTGAAATCTCCAGTTTAAAGAAAGCTGTGTTTCATTATTATAATGCTTACACTTAACATTTAAATAACTGTCCTCTCTAAATTATTTGAAACAGCTCTTTTAAGGTAAAAAAATTCTCACCTCATCCCTCTCCTCATTTACTGATTCTTTCACTACTAATTTCTGTGTTACTATAACCAAAGGTCAGACCGCTGAAGGGCAAGTCAGTAAGCCTCTGGTATGCAGTAACTTTTTCAATACTAGTGCCATAAATTTCATATTGATGTATTGCCCTCAAAGGGTACCAAATGAACTGAAGAAATAAGATTATGTACCTAAAACAGGACTATTCCACATATTCACTACACATTTGTCAAGTGTGTGACTAAAGCTAATTTACTACTCAGAGTACTCAGAGCTATTTAAGCCTACAGTGTATTCTTCATCACAGATGCACTCAGTTTAATATTATAATCCTTGGAACTATACTTATAAGCTTGGTAGGATTTAAAATGCTGAAGGGGAAAAAGAAAATGAACCAGAATTTATAACCACAAGATCTAGAAGGGAGATACACTACAGAAATCAATGTTAATCTATTTGAAAATCAAGTTCTTTCAACACTGTAAATATATTTAAGATTTATATTAATTTTATTAATGTTTTCATTTTCTATTTCAGTGCTATACGTTAGCAAACAGTTGCACACACAAGTAACTTAAACCATATTAAATAGGACTTGCCAGAACAGTACAATTACATTTGGTTTTGGAGCATCAGGTCTTAATGATATATAATCATAAGATAATTCACATTGGAATAGGCTCCAGGAGGTCTCTAGTCTAAACTCCTGCTCAATCAGGGCCAGCTCTGAGGTCAGGTTGCTCAGGGCTTTGTCCAGTCTGGTCTTGAAAATATCCAAGGCTGGGGACTGCTTGACTGTCCTCATGGAAAGGAAGCATTTCCTCGTATTCAGCCTGAACCCTTCTCGTTTCAACTGATGCCCATTGCTGCTCATCCTTCCACCATGCACTGCTGTGAAAAGCCTGTTTCTGAGTTCTTGAGTACTGGCAGGTAGGACTTACGTCCCCCTTAAGCCACCTCTACTCCAGGTGGAACAAGCCCAGTTCCACCAGCCTCCTCTCATAGGAAAAGTGTTGCAGCTCCAAGTATTGTGGGAGCCCTCCATTAAACTCACTCCAGTTTGGCAATGTGTTTCTTGTACCGTGATGGCAAAACTGAATGCAGCGTATTCCAGATGTGGTCTAATGAGTGTTCAGTAAAGGTGGACAATCACGTCCCTTGAGCTACTGGCTGTGTCCTGTTCACACAGCCTAGTACACTCTTGGCCTTCTTTGCCACCATGGCATACTGCTGGCTCATGTACAGCTTGCTGTACACCAGGGCCTCCAGGGCCTGAATTTTCAGCAGAGCTGCTCCCAAACCCATTGGTCCCCAACCTTTATTGGTGCCAGTGGCTCTTCTTCCCAAATTCAGAACTTGGCATTCATCCTTGTTAGACTTCGTAAGGTTCCTGTTGTCCATTCTTCCTACCTGTCTTGGTCCCTGTGGATGACAGCCCTGCTCTTGAGTATATCAACAGTTTTGCCTAATCTGGTGTCATCTGCAAACGTTATGAGCACACATTCTGTTGCCTCCTTCAGGTCACTGATAAAGATGTTAAACAGGACAGGCCTCAGAACAAACCCCTGTGGTGCTCCATGTTAACAGTCTCCAGGCCAAATTAACTACTACTTGATAAGACTGACCATCCAATCAAATTTTCCCTCACATAGCCACCCACCCATCCAGACCATAACATGCTGGCCTGGATACAAGAACACTGTGGGTAACAGTGTCAAAAGCCTTGCTACAGCCTTGGTAAATAACACCCACTGCTCTCAGCCTGTTGTTTCCTGATAGAAAGCAGTCAGGTTGGTCCTGCAGGATTAACCATGAACATCACCTGTATTACATTTACAATTCCAAAAATAACTATTTTCCCTTACATTTTGAATAGTGGTTTCTAGCTCTTCAATTCTCTGTTCCAAATGAGCCTTTTCATTAAACGCAGTATCTTGGGAAATCTGTATCAAATAACAACAATAACAACAAAATCACACATAGAACAAGTCTGAACTCACCACAGACATGTAATGCAATTAACTCTCAGGATTAGAACAGAAATCTTTAGCAACTTTAATTACAACATTAAGTAGTTTTCATGTTAAAACAACCTTGAAGGGGGGGAAAATCAAACCTTTAACTGCTCCCTGAGGCTATCACGTTCTGTAGTCATCCTTCGGAAATCTGACTGTGCTGTATCCCTTTCTATCTCCACATGTCTTAACATAGCTTGAGCTGTCAGAGTACTTTTAGGAGTCCTGGGGCATTTGATAACTTCCTGACGAAGTCGGGAAATCTCTTCCTGTGCCTGTTTTTAAAAACAGCAGCATAACAAAAAGATGGAATAGATACTGTAATATGTTACTGTGGCATATGGCTGGTAATGCAGAGCATCCCAGAAACTGTGCAATATCAAAGATGAAGTAATGATTTGTGAATATATTCTTTGATTCAGGAAAGCATTCTTAACTCAGGACAGCATTTACAAACTTGTATTTAACTGACAGATTCAAATCACAGAATTTCCATGACTTTTTTTTCTATTTTTTAAACAAATGCTTTGCATTTTTTCTTTTTTTTTTTTACACAAAAACAAAAATAGGATTTTTTTCTTGCACATCACCCTGTTATTTTAATTAATCATACAAATATAAATAAAATTACCCGTTCATAAAGATTGACGATTTTGTCTCTCTCAGCTGTTAAAACTTTGAAGTTACCCTGAATTTCTGCCACATGGCGTTCATATTTTTTCAACATTGACTTAATTTCTTCACGTTCTCTCAATATTTTCAAAACTTCTGCATGAGAACTCACTCCCTTAAAGAATAAGGTGATAAAAGGTTGAAGTAGAGAAACAACACTTGATATGCTTTCTTATTATATCTGGTTTGGAAATTTCTATAAAAGATTTAATAAGCCTTCAACCTAGTAACCTCTAGACAGTCAAGACTGTACATACATATTTCTTAGTATTAGGGACCAGATATACATGCCGTTTTCTAAAATACACTAAATACACTGAAATACATTATTTTGAGCAGCAAATGTCTATCACAAATGGTACTGACAATCATGTTAATAATTACCTAAAATGTAAGCAGTTGTCAGTAACCATCTAAAGTGATACACATGCATGCAGTGTAAAGTGGTAGTTACGTTCACATTATTGGCCCATTCCTATCTTATGCATCCTTCTTTTTATAATCAATTAGTTTTTTCTTCCTGGTAATTACGGCTTTGGTAGTTTAGCATAAGATAAACCAACATTTTAAAAAATGCATTCCTCCTTTTCCAAAGTGTTTTCCCAAGCTCACCTGGATGGATGAAAATTTTTTTGACATGCTGCCACAAGTAGAGGTTCGCTTAGGACTTGAAAATGCGTTTCTAGATACCTTCAGCAAATTCTCAGTCTTTTTTTCTTCCTGGTAATTACGGCTTTGGTAGTTTAGCATAAGATAAACCGACATTTTAAAAAATGCATTCCTCCTTTTCCAAAGTGTTTTCCCAAGCTCACCTGGATGGATGAAAATTTTTTTGACATGCTGCCACAAGTAGAGGTTCGCTTAGGACTTGAAAATGCGTTTCTAGATACCTTCAGCAAATTCTCAGTCTCACATTTATAGTAGTCTCTGTCCTCTTCCAATGTCTTAATAAAGGTATCAAGCCTTGAAGGTGACTTCCCTTGCTTTATTTCAGCTTCTGTTTGTTCATGTGCATGAACAAAATAACAAAATAACCTGCATGTGCAAAAATGAGAGAATGCATTCACTGAAATAGAGCTTTCATAATGAATGATACTTCAGTGTAAAATGGATAAACGTACTCTTCAAAATGAACATGAAGCAGATATCTAATTAAAATAAATATCCATTTAATACTTTAAAGTAACTTCTGAATGTCTGTGTTTTCTCTTTTTTGTTATATTGCAGAATATGTCTGAATTACAATTTTTACTGGTGAACCTATCCACTTGACTTTCCACCACTTGCTTCTTATCAAGCAGCTGTATGACATGTTGCCTTAGCTCATGGTTTATCTTCTTCAGATCTTCAATCTATGAGGACAAGGAGGAAGAAAGTATTTTACTTCATCTTCAAGGATTTGCAGGAAGTATTTCATAATAAGAAGTAATTTAGGCTTAACAAAAAAAAAATCAGTATACGTTATTCACACATGAAGAATATGCACACTACTAGCACCATTTTGAACAGATTAATTTTGAAGGGTTCTGGACAGTGGAGAATCTGATCCTTAATATTTATGCTAAAAACTGTCTCAAGCTGGGCTGCCACTACAGTTATTCTCCCATAGTACTGTGAGAGGAACTGTCTCTCCAGGCCTGGTCTCAAGTTTCAAGTTTCCAATGCCCTTACTCACTATGGTTCTCTTAGATCTTAGGAATGCCCTTCAATCATCTTCTTTGAGTTGGGCCCGTATCCTTCACACAGGCCAGCAGAAATGTAGCAGATCAAGTATTAATACTAATTCATCAATTAATCAATATAAGATTAATAATCTTCCTGAAACAATATTGTCTTTTAAAAAAAAATGGCCTTTTTGTAAGAAACCAGAAGTTGCTAACTATTTTGGCACTATCAACTTACTGTAACATCTCAGTCTATAGGAGCATTACAGCCTCATACAGCTTTTCAATTTTCTGAGTCCTCAGATTTCTAAAATCCCAGCCTAATCAAGATATGGATGCAGTGCGATGCAGAAACTCCATTGTTTGCACAGGCTGATCCTGTAATGCACAAGAAATCAGTATCGCTGAATACTGAATTCTGTGAGGATCACTTGATTCTAACAGTCAGAGAGTTTTCTTCAGGTACTACTAGCAGTGCACAAAAATACATTTTGAATTATTTAGGAAGACCCAAAAGATGCTTTGTGACTAAAAGCTTTCTGAGTGGGCTCCGTCCTGTGACATTCTGTAGTAGTTAATTTTGCCACTTCTTCTGTTCAATGGATATAAAAATATATTAAGAGAGCCAGTGAAAAAATTATGAATTTATTTTCATTGTCATTTTATTTTTATGTTTTCATCAAGCCTGATCCAGCTAATGCTACTGAATTAATAACAAAGCACAGTTATAAACCCAAAAATGTGATAATTATGGATTGGTTGAGTGGAAAAGTAGTTTTTAAAAAACAAACAAACAAAAAACCACCACAGAAAGCATCCACAAAGGGCAGTAGAGACAGCATCTGTACATCTGTGTTTTGGGATTCCTGCACTTTTATTAAGTTATAAAATCTGGGAAGAATACAGCTCTGCTATTACTGGAGGAAGTTCACAACGATGGCTGCTTTACATGATGGGAAGAGGAGTGCTAATGAAGGGCAGGGAGCCTAAATCCTACTCTGCATCTGAATGTATAAACAACACTTAAAATGACAAAATTGAAGTCCGAGGCACATCTACATCCTCAAGCCTCAAATAACTGACTACAACAAAAGTGGTTTTGTTGCTACATACAGCCAACCTGTACCATATCTTAAGGGTCTTTTCCAACCTAAATGATTCTATGAATCTTTGATTTTCCCCCTCATCTTCTCTTGGATAACCAAGAAAGTTCTGGCAAGCACTCAGAGATACCATATTTAGACTACAAAATTAAGGGATCTTCATGGAAAATACCATTTTAGCAATTTACTCTGCTTTATACAGACAGGAATTATAATTTGAGCACCTTAACTAATTACAACTGTGCTCACAATGCTATATGATAAAAGTGGTCTGTAAGAAGACAAAATTGCCGATCACTTAAGGCTTTATAGACTCAAAAAACAATATCACATGATCAAAAAATACTCATAGCCATAAAAAAAATCATAAAGTACAAACAACCTTTGCTCATGTCATTGCATTCTGCTCTAGCTCATGACAGCTTGTTCCAGCAATATAAACTGGGGAGGAGAATGCTACCATTTAACTTCCTAGGAACAAAAGGATGCAGAAAAGCATCTTTTTGTATTTCAGCTATATCAAAATAGAGGAAATACATGATAATAAGAAACATGGACATAACTTATGAATTATTTCTATCTATCAGCATCCTCTCAAATATAGAGCAAGGCCAGAAACATTTGTAAGTGTTCAAATTCTGTTCAATTCAGCTGAACATAGGGATACGGAGCTATTTATCATCAACTCTCAGTACTGCCACTTATGTTTCCTTACTAATCCACAAACACTTTGAAACATAAGAAGGAAGAAAAAGATTAAGTGCTCTCTGGCAGCTTTCTCAGAATAACTATGATAAAGTAGGGTCACTGGAATGAGTCCCTCAGTGAAAGATGAATGAGCCACAGTGAGGCAAGGTGAGCGGCAAGCACACCACCGGTGCCTCACAGTGCTATTCAACACCTGACAGTCTGCTCCTGTTATAATATGGGAAGTAGCCCACAGGTCTAACAACAGAATATGAACATTCAGTTACCTGCCAGCAGGAAGTTATCACCACCAGCATGACCACAAGTTTCTCTCCATGCTCAGATTCAAGAGTTTCAAAGAAATTTAGGGCAGCTGGTTCACTGAGTTACTTCCCTACCACATTCAACTTCATCTGAATCAAATCTCTGCCACCAAGTATCAGTCTGAACATCAGCCTCAAGGTGTTTTTAAGCACCAATATAAGTGATAGTTTTGTTTAGGAGTAAGCTGACTTAATTTTGGGTATCTACAAAAAGGCATTTCTAGAAAGTGATTCCCATGATCGATTTTAGGCATTCATCCTAAAATTAATCATGCCCTAGGAGTACCTCTGACAATAAAGACAGCCTAGATGTCTCTATTACTGTCATCATCACCATTGACACATCAAAATAGATGAGGTGAATCCCATCCTAGTATTCTGTTCTCTCTGAAGGAGACACTCACAACTTTCTCCAGTCATATGCATTGTCCTAGTCTTCCCAGAAAGGGAAGAGAACAGATCAGAGTAATTTGCAAGCTATCGGTACCTTCAGAACCTCGCTCAGCATTGAGGACTCAAATTTACAGATAGAATACATAGTATTTACTCACTCACAATACTACTTTTACTCAACTTGTGAAAAAGAACTTTTTGAAAGACACTATAATATTTGTATTTCCTAAAATAACTATTATTTATGCTTGCCATAAAGTGGTAAGATTTAATTACCGTTGTTGCCACATTTCACCACCATCTTCTGAACTGCGATAATGCAACCCCCTTGCAACTGGGATGAAACTTCGCACTAAGACCACTCCAAGCTTCACGCAGCACTAAAGACACTTGCAGCAGGCCTCGCGGCACGACCAAAAGAATTCAGTTAGTAAACTTTTTGGACTTATTAAGTCCCCAAAACTGGTTTGGAGTTCCAAGTATTTCAGCGATTAATTTAGGATGCTCCTTTCCTCCTTGTTCTCCACAGTGTACGCAGCACCAGCACCAGCACCAGCACCCGCAACCCCCGGACCCGCCGCCCGGCCCCGCCGCGCCACTCGCCCCGGGCCGCTCGGCGCACACCCACGCCGCGCCCCTCGCCGCTCGGCGCACACCCACCACCCAC